TATGCGTGCCTGATGGGTAAAATAGATGGCACTAATATACAACCAACCTGCAATCAGTGGAGCCCATCTATTTCCAACAAAGTCTTTACCGTAAGGCCATAGCCCTCAAAACTACCTGACACATTTTCTTAAGACTACAAGGAACCCCCCCAGATTTAGCATTTGAGATGTTTAAATCGCCCATTGCCGGTTTAAACCTGCGGCGCAAAAGGGAACCCTTGATTCAAAGAAAAGACAACTCCTCGCGCCAAAAAGCCATGCGACTGCACCTGAGTCTTTCCAAAAAATGAAGTCGTCTTGAAACGGGGGGAAGGGGGGTGTGCATTTTCATGGCGGGAGGGTCTTTGGGAGGTCACCCAGCTTGGATGTTCAAGCCCGTGAAAAGAATGGTGGGGCCCAATTTGGACGATGAGATCCCTCAGGAGAACAATGGTGATTATATTCTAGGTCCTCCAGTGGAGAAGTTAGAATAAGGGTACCATTAGTTTCTGCTATTTTAGTAGGAGAACCCTCCCAACCAAAAAAGGGGTAAAGGGGCACTACTGGGGGGCCTAGACTTACCCCCTAAAACTCCAAGCCCTGGGGAAGTTAATCTTTTACAGACATATAGCCCATGTTACCCAAAAAGTTGAAAAGTTGTGTTTTTAAGAGGTAAGTAGATGGTGATGGTTGATCCCTTCGATTTAAGGACTGAAATTCCGGTAACGCATGGCTGCAACTTACTTCCCCGAGGTAAGACATCCCTTGCGAGCCGCAGATGGCCCCCAGATGGCCACAGGGCTCCTTGTCCTTGTTCTCTTCCTTGTGCTCCTCATCGTCGAAGTCGGGCAGCTCCTCGGAAGCGTTGAAGTAAGGGGAGCTGAAGGACCCCGGAAGCGCGGGATCTTCAAAATATGTTTCACCAAAAGGTTTGACTTTTCTAGAAGAAATGCTTCTTTCTCTCTCACAAAGTGGTTCTTGTGCCCCTTATAAAGCGGGATGGTAACCAGAGAAACCTCGCCCACAAAAGGGATCCCAGCACCTTCTCCCTTCAGTTCGTCCAAAAACCTCACAATCCACCGAATCAAACACCAAAGCCCTGAAGTCAGGCCCCATCAGTTCGAACGACTTCCGAATCAAACAGCTTCCTCGCCTGGAAAAAAAATGAGCCACGAGGTCCGGTCATAGATCCCCTTGAACAAGTCTGATTGATGTTTTTTTTCTCGGGTGGCCTCCGGTTGGCCGTGTTTTGGATCTGGATTGGAGTCCGTCAGGCTACCTGAGTCGCAATCAAAACCGATCGGTACTGAAATGGTCTATCAGAACCACGTACAGGATGAAGCAGGCGGAAGTCCGCGGCTATGTCTGGCAAGGGTCCCGATCGTGCCTTACGAACCTTCATGAATCCCCGGGTTTTGAGCACGTGGCTCACATGGATTTGAACCCAGCAGCGGGAAGCGGATTTCAAAGGCGAAGAAGCGAATCTCGACCTGAGAGGGGACTTCCATAAGCTTCGTCTGGAGAAATGGAGGGCCATGATCTCAGTTGTTCAGTGACCCTGGAAAAAAAAGGGAACCCTTTTTGGGGCTTGGACCATTTTTAGTGGGGCAGCCGCCAAAAACAGGGAAGAAGGGTGCCAGTGAACAACTGAGGAAATGGAGGGCCATTATAGTTCAGTGATAGATCTTGAAAAAGTACAGGAACATACCACATCTTCTGTTGTGGTGCACCCAAACACATGGCAGACTTGCGCCCAACCTTTTGTGGGGTTGGCTTTGGGTTTGGAAAACCCACCCGTCTGTGGCGGTCGGTGGTCGGCGGCTCCTCCTCAGCAGCCATTGTCGAGTCCTAACGACTTGCAGACTCGACGTCCATTTTTGTTCTTCCCCGCGTCCGAATGTTTGGGAAGCACCGTAAAGATGGCAGGCTATGCACTGCTCAGATGCCAAAAGGTGGATTCCCGTGGGCAAAAAGGGCAGCGTCACCCGAGCTTTTTTGCTTAGTATGTTTGAACCACTTGATGTTCAACCAACATGAGGTAAGTAGGTCCTGGTTCTTGGTTACAAGGTGATGTCACCGGGGTGATCGTGCCCATTTTGTCATCATGGTCATAACGTACTTAGCTCATGTTGGCTGAACACCCAAGCACTGCTTTTTACACGTCCAGCTCAGAGAAAATGAGATATGGTGATGAGTGGTGACTCGACACCACTTGGCGCGGTTCGTTCAAAACATCCGTGAGGGTTCCTGGTCGCAGGACAGGCCAGAAATCGCAACATCTGAAAACGGTGTCGCTGGCAAACTGATTGGACGTCCTCGAAACAGATGTCCATAGCATCCCGTGCCCAAATCGTGGGATTGTCCCCAACCAGAACTCCGATCGTTAGCTCGAAAGGCTCCCTCTTTATATCGGCAAATTGGGATACCCCTGGCCCCGGCGAGTAATCCACCTGCCCCAAGCATTGGACCCTCCATTGAAAGGGGAAAGGGACCTCCATTGGAAGATTTTGGACCTCCAAAAGAGCCTTTTTGAGGGCCCAAGATGTTTACAGTGCTGGTCAAATAGCGGGCTGCTCCCCCAAACTACAAAATCCTCTCTTGAATCGGACCCGCCAATCAATCAGGGATCACATCCTCAGGGATCGATGAGGTCCAGGTTGCCCTTAGACAAGTCAGTCCAACTCAGGGCGCCATCAGGCATCCCCAAACCACATCCCTCGAGGGGAACCCTGGGGAACTCGCAAACTTCGGGTTTGTCATTCAAAAACAAACAGTAAAAACACTGTTCATACATATATATATATATATAATATAATATAATAATATAATAATAATATAATATAATATAATATAATATAATGTAATATAATATAATATAATATAATATAATATATAGATATATACAATGATAATACAATGAAACTTAGAGTTCTCTTTTAACAACCAAACCCAATGGTTGTCATAATACCCCATGAACGGGGACTCGGAGCCTTCCTTCAAATCTCGGGGGCTGGGTCCGCTCTCCATTGCGTACCGGGATCCGGATGGCACGTCCCTTCAAAGCAGTTTCAGTGGTTGGCTCTGGTCATATGGGTGTCTTACCCCTTAAAGCTCCCTGCGCCCTGGGGAAGTTCTCATCTTTTACAGACATATAGCCCATGTTACCCAGAAAGTTGGAAAGTTGTGCTTTTAAGAGGTAAGGTGCGTCTTCTTTTTGGGGAACCCCCCAAAAGTGTGGCTTTCCTTTCGGTTTCGCCTAAGCCCACCAAAAAATGGGTACCTCCCTAAGCATCCTTGGACCCTCCAGTGAAAGGGGGAAGGGACCTCCATTGCAAGGTGTTGGACCTCAAAAAAGGCCGTTTTGAGGGCTCAGGATGCTTGGGGTATGAATTGCTGCCCACATTTTAAAAAAAAGGTTGACCCAATTTGGATGATGAAATTGCTTAGGTAAATGCTAAATACTCGCCCCCTGCTGGTTGGAACCCCAGAGTAAATGGTTGGTAAGGGGCACGACGACGCAACATCGGGGCGTGTGCCATCTACTTTCGCCCAACTATATCATGTCCAGTCGATACTAACACTTCTCTTCTTGAAACCATCAGAATCAGAATTTAAAAAAAAAAAAAAAAACGCCTGCAAGTAGACCCCTGCCTTGGCCCCTCGAACTCGATTTCCCATCAATTTCCCGGACTTGCTTCCCACCAGCCAGGCCTCCAAGAAGATCCCCGAAGACTCTGGGAGCCGGGTTCTGCCCTCGCCTTACCCCGTAAAACTCCAAGCGCGCCCTGGGGTTTTGTTCTCATCTTTTACAGACAGAAAACGCCCCCATGTTACAACCAAAAAGTTGAGAGAAGTTTTGTGTTTTTAAGAGGTAAGAAGCTGGACAAGCTCAGACACCATGCCCCTCAGCCTCCCCCCCCCTCCCCCGCAACCCACCCAGGCCTTTAAGGGTTCAGGGCTGCTCCGGCGTGTGGTTCTTGTGCCAAGAGCTGCAGATTGATCCGCTCGAAAGGACTCCCGAGTCTGGACCACGTTCTCTTCCACCCAGCTTAACCAAAAGGCGGATGTTTAAACCATGGTTGCTGTTGATCCTGGTTTCTTGACTGCTATTGGGTTGGATCTTTAGACTTTAACTTTCGGGGAAATCACTATATAAACTCCCCAAAAAGTCAAACTTTTTTGCAGGGACCCCAAAGGGGAAATATAGAGAACCCTGAGCGAAATCTGGGACCTCGAAACATTGAGGTCCACCTTCCGATGGAGTGACCCAAAATCAATCAAGTCCAAACTTGCTTGCAGTAACATGCCTAGGTCCTCCAGTAGAGAGGTTGGAATAAGGGTACCAACTTGTTTCTGTCGTCTATTTTAGTAGGGGAACCCTCCCAACCAACAAAGGGGTAAAAGAGAAAGGGCACCTAGCTGGGGGACCTAGATGCTCATCAGAAGCATCGCACTTCGCGCCAGGCGGCGATCCTCTGCAACCCCGCATGCTCCCTGGTAAGGCTGTTAAGGCTTGCAAACGGAGTTCTGCTACGCCCGCTAAGAACTGGTGTGAACTTGCTTTTTTTGGTGGAAAAAGGGAACAAAAAGGCAAGCCACATTTTGGGGGGGGTCACCAAAAAAAAGACAAACCCAAATGGGAAAAACAAATGTTGCTAGCACACCCTTATCAAAACCTGGTACTAAAATGGTCTATCCCCAGAACCACGTACAGGATTAAGGCGGATATCCGCAGCTATTTCTGGCAAGGGGATCGTCCCTTCCTAACCTTCATCAATCCCCGGGTTTTGATTGTGGCTCAAATTCGGATACCCCTAGCTCCGTGTCACAGCTCCCTTCCAACCACTGTCTCCATGGCTGCCGGCTGCTGGACATTCGCTTAAGGCCGGACGCCAAACCAACAGCCAAGCAAGACCCGCCTTACTAACCTTCATTTACCCGGGATTTCGTGACTTATTTCAGCAAATGGGCCGAAACCCAAGCCCTCCCAGCCCTCAAAACGGCGATCAGCCGGGGCGGACGTCCCGCGACAGGCTTGTGAGCTTGCGGGTGGTAAGGTTCAGGAAGGGAACCTCACCGAAAAAGCGGGCGCAAACACCATCCCCTCGCCGTGTGCGATAAGAGGAAGGAGGGAAAAAGTAACGGGTGGCAAAGAACGGGACGGTAACTCGGTCACTGGATTTCCTGGTAACTGCCATTTACGGGCCAACTGTCTGGTTGGGGTCCAACTTGAAAACCAAAAGGGCATTGTCACCAACCTGCTGAACCCTTTGAGGGACCTCCAATTGCAATGTTCGTCCCCTGGAAAAAAAAAACACAAAAAAGTGTATTGATGGATTCCCTTTGTTTCCTCATGCAGGCGAACACACTCTAAACATATGCGCAAGCAAGCGGAAGAGGAAACCCGGGGCCGTTTCGGTGGAACCTCATGTGACCAGGCTGCCAAGGCCACATAAAATGGACGTCCGCCGGCGTGCTATTGCGGCGCATGGTCTTTCATGTCCGTAGACATTTCACACATCTGAAGGCAAGGAAGGAAAGGCAACCAGTTTTCCCTTGCCCCTTGGGCACTGGAAGAGCGATGATGCTTGGGGGGGTTCCAACTTGGATGTTCAGCCAGCTTGTAAGTAGGTGAAAACCAGGGTCATAAGGGACTAACCCTAGTTGCACCGGTAACCACGCTGGAACCTACGAGTTACCTGATTGAACCTCCAACATGCCACCGTGGGCCTGGCATATCGCCTCGAGTCCCATTCTTGGCCTCAAAGAATTCGGGCCACACGTGTCTTTTTGGAGGCTGCCTGCTTTGTGTTTTGTGCTATTCTTTGGGGGGGGTTCGGAAAGCAAAGATTTGCTGCTTCCACTTGCCCTGGCAAGGCCCAGGATGCTTCAAATCCCTGGCTCTTCATAGGACGGGCTGTACCTAGATCAGGGGTCAACATTAGGGCTCATCCACTTGACCTCCACTCACAAAAGTCCATGCCGCAACAGAAAAGCGACTGTGTCCCACAACCCCATTCTGATTTTTGAACAGGCCTGTTCAGAGTTCCCTAAGGGTTCTTCCAAAGACCACCTGCTTTACAAGGATTGGTAATGGTCTATTTGAATCAGCTATCGCAGCTGGTATTGTTATTCAAGGACCCTGTGGCCGCAAAATCCGCCAAGATGTCGCATCCACCCGAAATCGGACCTCTCCGGATCTTGGGGCCGCACCCCGTAGCCGGACTCGTACTCCTTGGCCAGCTCCTTGTACTCTTTGGTGCCCTCGTCCCTCGGCGGAAAACAAATAGTGTCGAAGCGACTGTCCCCTTGGGGGGTCGAAGCGGGTTTTTGGCGCGGCGGACTCAGCACACATTTCGCTTGATGAGCAGACTAGACAAAAATCAAGTACCCAAACCTTGTTCTGAGATGCCCAGTGGATTTTCATGGGGAAAATAAAAGACTCGGCACCCGATTTTTTGCTTGGTTGAGTTTAAAGGTTCAAGGGAACCCTTACCCGAAAACAGTTGAAAAAAGGGCACCACTGGCAACAGAGTGTTTGATTGTCACTAGATCTATTTAATAAATGTGTTGTTCTGCTTTGGCTCCCTACGAGCTGCAGTGCGCACCGTTGGCTCTAGGATGAGAGGTCCTGAACATACTCCAATAAAAATCCGAATCATCACTGGTCTCTCGCAAGGGAAATTGCAACTAGAATGGTACCTGGAAATAGAAGGCCAACCTTTTGGGACCTTGCTAAAAAAGGGGCAACATGGGAAAACCAGCAGGTCATTTCAGGTCGGTGATTAGGATGGGTTTGTCTCAAATTGGCTGCCTCGTCTTCTAAAAACGACGGACCCCGCCTGGTGGTTTTCCTGGTGGTGTCCCTCTAAAACTGGAAACAAGGTAGCCTCAAAAAGAAGACACACCCAAACTGACAACCGTGTCCTCCAAAGCCAAATCCGAAAAGGGTAGCTTTCGCCTCAATAATGATATACAAAGATGGGGACGCAAACCCTTCCGACAAGTTGAAAGGGTGGACTCTGGTCACATAGGTGAAGCCTGTCCATGGACTTGCTTCAGGTTCCTGCAAGGAAACCGCTACCATTTCGTCGGATCTCCCGAGCCTCGCAGCCGTTCATGCTTTGAACATCGGTTTCAACTTACTTGGGTGTTCAAGTGACGTCAGGTAAGTAGGTTATAACCCCTGGTTCTAAGCGGGACGATCACCCCAGTTGCACTACTTACCATGGCTTATAACCTACTTACCTGAGTCGCAATCAAAACCTGGTACTAAAATGGTCTACCCAGAACCATGTACAGGATTAAGAAGGCGGATATCCGCAGCTATTTATGGTTAGCATCGTCCCTACTAACCTTCATCTACCCGGATTTTGATTGCATTCAGTAAGTTGCCCAAAGGACCTGCAAATAAAAGGTTAACCTTTTGGGACCTCTAAAAATAGACCAAAAAGGGAAAACCATTTCAGGTCATTTCAGGTCGATTCGCTTTGAACAACTGAGTTCAGTAAGTTGCCACTAGGCGCAACAAAATCCCCACCGACGTTTGATGCTTGCCCAAGCCTTCAGACCCTTCCGTCGGACCAAATCATTTCGTTTCGGGACCACGGGAGCCACCCCCTTTTGACCACGGGATCGACCAAAAGAAGGTCCTCCAGATTTGAGAGGTTCGAATGATTTGGAATCCCAACTTTTGTCTGTCTATTTTAGACACGAAAAACCCTCCTTTCCGCCAAGGTTAATAAGGGCAAAACAGATGTGGTCACCAGTTGGGGGCGGCAGGCAAAAATCTTAGCGAACCTACGCGAACCCAAAGTACCTAAGCGAACGTTTGCGAACCCGCTTCTCATCTGCGAACATGGCGGGGATTGCGAACTGTCAAAGTCACGCGCGAACGCAGGGGGGCTTAGCTAGGCTGCCAGGGCTGCGCCGAGCCGGCGCCGCCTCTGGCAGGACCTGGCCAGGGCTGCGCCGGGCCGGCGCCGCCTCTAGCAGGACCTGGCCAGGGCTGCGCCGGGCCGGCGCCGCCCTCGCACGAACCCTGGACTGTTTTTGCGAACCTTTGGATTGCCCAATTCAGTTTGCGAAGGTTTGCGAATTCCATTTCGGGTTTGCGAACCCGGCCAGGCATTGCGAACTTTGAGTCGAACCCCCAACAGATTTGCGAACCTGTGCGAATGGTCATGGCCTGCCCCCCCCTCAGTGGTGACCACATCCGTTTTGCCCTGAGTTAAGGGGTGAGAAAGGGCACCTAGCCGGGGGACCTCGTGAAAGAAGGACGGCTGCCAGGACCTGCAACTAAAAAATGGTGATCACCTTTTGAACCGTGGACCGAATGGACCAAATCAGGAAAAACCCAAAGGTAAACCAAGGTCAAACCGAATGGACCATGGACCATGGTCAAAATTCTAACAGAGGGCAACAGAGGGCTGAACTGGAATCTGGGCTTCCTCTATAGCTTGCCTTTGGAATAAACGGGGCTTACGGGTGCGTTTTCTGGCTAGGTCCTCCAGATCTGAGAGGTTAGAATAAGTTGGTACCAACTTTCTTTTCTGTTGTCTGTTTTAGTAGGGTCCCTTTCCCCCCCCAACCCAAAAAGGGGTAAAAAAGAGCTCGGGCACGACTCGCTGGGTCCCGGACCTAGCCCGTTCGCTGGGGTGTTGAATGGACCTCACTAGCCAGCTCCTCTTTCTCAGGTGCCGGCATCGTCATCATCTCGTAGGCCATGCTGCCCATGGACATTCCTGCGGGCCAGGAGGCAGTTTAGGCTTCCAAGTAGAACAGGTAGAAGGCTTCCAAGAAGTAAACATACCTCCGGTAGTGAAATATCGACTCCCTTCAAACTAAAGCCAGGGAAGATGAACATGGTTCATTTCGGCAAATGAAAGCAGGGGTTGGTTCGACGTGAAGCACCAAAGGGTCCGATTGGGGCTTGGTATGCAGAACCCGCGGGGTGCCTGTACACCAAAGACTTTGATTCTCCGAATTCCATCAGGACCTGGGCAACAATCAAAACCTGATATTAAGAAGCTCTGCGCAAATCAAAATAAAGAACGAGAAGCGACAGCACCCATTTCTGGTTGGGAGTGTCTAACCTTCATCAACCCGCAGTTTGATTGTGGCTCATTTGGAGGGCTCGTTGCCCTCCACCAATCATGGACATTGAGAGGAACAAGGGGAGTGGTCCTCTGCCATGCCCCCAAACATTTTCCACTCTACAAGGAATCCCCATTCGAACTCCTCTGCTACGATGCGGACCTGGACAAAATGTCATGCTCAGAATGTCCAGACCCGCCAGGAGGATCTTGACCAAATGGACATCAGGGATTCTGATTTGACAAGCTACATGTCCCTAAACAGAACTCGGATCGGCTACTGAACCGCTTTCTGTGTAAAAGCAAATTTGGATACAGCTCCGGAACGGCTCCCTGCCAACAACCAGCTAGCAAGGTGCCACTGCACATCATTTTGTTCACCGGTCATGTGCATGCCCGGCTTGTTTACATTTGGGATCTTCAAAATTATGGTGCCCGGTGGGAGTCTTCCAAGTTGGCAGGAAGTCTCTCACGTTTGGCTGGGCTGGCCTCAGATCCCCCGCGAAAAGTGTAGCTTTCACTGGGTAAGATGGAAACTACCGCGACACCAACCAAAAACCAACCAAACTCCTAAGGAACGGGATGCCTGGGGTTCCCAAGCAAGATGATCCCTACTGTGGGTGGTTGCGAAATCCGTTCGCACCACTTGGAATCCATGAGAAACCATTGTTTATTGGTATTTACAGGGGAATCATCCTTCCAGGGTTTCTTAGCTGGTGCAGGATTTCGTCCATCCACAGTATGTTTTTTTCTTGCTTTCCCTCTTTCGCAGGTGTCTTGGGACCCGTAGGTGTCTTCATCTACTTCCTGCTCACGTTCTGAGGTGCGTGCCTGGAAGCAATGCGGCAGGGTTGCGACTTGTCTTCCATTTGCTTCAGCCCCCTGGAGAAAAAAAACACATCAAACACTAGTCATGGATTCCCTTTAAAACCAAAAACCGGGGGAAAAAGCCCTGGACCAAAATCAAACAAAAACAAACAAACAAAAAAACATCAAGCACTAGTCATGGATTCCCTTTCAAACCAAAAAGAGGAAAACAAACAAAGAAACATTCGTCGGCTGTTTAAGTCGTTGCAGCTGTGCTCCATGCCGGCCATGCCGCGTTTCTTGTTTTGGGTTGGCGCCCCTCAGGCCGGCAGCGCGTCCAACAAAGGCGGGAGCCTTCCGGATGTCCCTTGGGTATAGCCCACGTCCTAGGAGTCCACCTGTGTCTTTTTTGGAAAGCACCTCTTGTTCCTGGTGTTTAAGGAGAACAAAAAGGAAAGGCACTTGCTGTTCGTGGCTTTTAAAGGAGAACGAAAAGGAAAGCCGGCCTATTTTGAGACACACCCACTTGGTTGTCGCTGTTGCCGATGGTCCGGCAACCATAGCGCGCTCGTGCTACCCCCAAACCCTCCCACCCTCCCCTCGAGGTCAGTCCTTCGATGCCCTTGCGGTACTCCCACCTGGGCCAACGTAACAGAAAAAACTCCACCAAGTGGCACGTTAAGTGGGAAGCTCCCCCTAGCAAAAAGGCAACCTGCCACCCTTCTGACTGACACTCACCCTGGATATTTGCTTGCTTACGTGTTTCCCTTTGTGGGCTTAACACTTTCCGCGGCAACGCGCATCGTTTGCTCGCATAATCCCTCCCCCCTTTGCTCGGTTCAAGCCATACAGCAACACTATGAAAAAAACACAATATCTGCTAATTGAGGTTTCTGTAGAACGGGGGCATGCCATCTTCTGAACTAGTCTCTGCACTTCCGCGTGGGTACAGCTTGAGAGACAACCCAAACGCAGAAACCCAAAGGAATCGCTTCAAAACCAACAACAGGGGAGTACAAGTCCGCAAAGCTACCTCTCAGATCAGCTTCCCTCTCATTGCTGGCTTGGATGGGTGGTTTGGTGGCTAAGTGCTACAAGAACCAGGAGTTCAATTCAAATCTCGCAAGCCAACTACAAGTAGCATACCCTCCGAGCCGCAAGCCTTGCGCCCGGTCAAAAACCTAATTTTCAATGTTTCTCCGTTGCGAAATCTGCTCCCCTGCTAAAAGTGAATAACTTTTGGTAGTTTAATACGGAAAACATCCATTCGTTGGCAAAAAGTTGTCCAGTCCTAACATCCCTTGGCAAGATGCACCAAGTGTTGAGGTGTCGGACTCCCCAGATGCGGTGATTCGACTCAATAAACCGTCCAAACCCCCGTGGCCCTTGTGCCACCTTTGGGACTTGGGGACGAGAGATGCACCGGTTCAGACCCCAAAAAGTCACCAAGGTCCGAGACAAAACTCAGGGAGTGAGCCGTTCTTGTTGACAGTCTGAAGGTGAGTCTAAGAAAGACAAGTTCCACGCATGATTCTCCCGAGAAGAACACAAATTAGAGCTTGTACCAAACAAACAAGCTAGCTAGCAAGCAAGCAAGCAAGAAAGCACGCAAGCAAGCAAGCAGAAAGCAAGCAGAAAGCAAGCAGAAAGCAAGCAAGCAAGCAAGCAAGCAAGCAAGCAAGCAAGCAAGCAAGCAAGCAAGCAAGCAAGCAAGCAAGCACGCAAGCACGCAAGCACGCAAGCACGCAAGCAAGCACGCAGAAGGCAAGCAGAAGGCAAGCAGAAGGCAAGCAGAAAGCAAGCAGAAAGCAAGCAGAAAGCAAGCACAAAGCAAGCAGAACGCAAGCAGTCAAAACACAAGAACAAACAAAGAAACAAACAAAACAAACAAACAAAACGACCCAGGGGGGCTCCATGATTGCCGGTAAGCGCACCCTCACCACTGGGTGAGGTGAGGGTGCGGACACAAGTTCTAAGCAGAAGCAACGACTGGCCAATTCGGCACCTGTGTACATCTGGGTTGCCGCTCGCTCATCCGGCAACCTTTCCTGATTGGGGATGCCAGGAGTCACTTCCTGCTTGGGCTGGCCAGGAAAGTCTAAACTTGATAGTCTTGAAAGCTGATTGTTTACCTAGGTCCTCCAGTAGAGAGGCTAGAATAAGGGTACCGACTTTTTGTGCAGTCTATTTTAGTAGGGGAGCCCTCCCCACCAAAAAAAAAGGGTAAAAGAGCGGGCGCCGGACCGCTGGGGGACCTAGTTACAGCACCTGGCCTTGCCCCAGGCTCCCAGTGCACCCTTTGTGAAGAAAGGTGTCGCTTCACCTGTCCCAAGAACCTGAAACTCAGCAGGTCAGCAAGGTCCAACAAAGGGGAACTACCATGTCCCTAACCAGAACTCCTGGTAGCTCCTTAGCTCCCTCTGTCAAATGTCTGTCAAAGCAAATTTGAATACCCCAACTCCATGTCACGGCTCCCTTCCAACCACCAGCGAGCAAATGCTACGTCTAACTTGTTTGAGGCTACCCCTGTTTTTGTGATTGAAACATGGAAAACCAAGAAAGAAAAAGAAAATCTGCTTTTGTGGGTATTCCTGTTTTTGTGGCTTAAATGGGACACCCCCCCAAAAAAAACATGGATTTTGGGAGGTCCGATTCCTCAAACCACCAAAAGCTCCAAGGCAACTCGTGCCTCAGGCCCGCGCCCGGGCTCCTTGCGCGGGGGCTTCGCCGTGGCCACCTGGCCCGCGCGCCGCGGTGCCCGGCTGCACGGCCCGGTCAGCGCAAGCACGTGAGGCTGGAGCCCACAAGTTGCTCGGGGGTGAGAAACCGAGGTCCGGTGAGTCCTCAGGCTTTGGTTAAGGCCCCGGGGAAAAGATGCAAATATGTCCAGTGATGAATCCCTTTCAAGACCAACAAGGGATGTATATATATATATATATTAATAAAAGCAAATGGGCACGGGAAAGTAGGTGATTTCACCATGGTTACTAAGTGGACGATCGCCCCAGTTGCACCAGTTATAACTTATAACCATGGTTAGAACCTACTTACAAGGGGACAATCACCCCAGATACACCAGTTGCCATGGTTATAACCTACTTAGTTGCCTGCCGTTGGTTCAGTCGAGGAATTCAGTGTTTGCCAGGCCAACATATAAATCGCAAGGCCGGCAAAGATCGAAGGACGGTTTGGGACTAACATCAGGAAGGTCCCCCCCCCCCCCCGCTGTTCATGACCCTACTTGGATGTTCAACTAACGTGAGGTAAGTAGGCTATAACCATGCTGCGGATAGTCTCCTTAAAACCGTGATTATAACCTACTTACTCAGTGGGTTGAATATCCAAGCATGCTCTGTTCCTCTATTTTGGTTGAGCTGACCCCTGGTTTGCTCATGTGAACTGCTGAAAAATAATCCGGACGCCACAAATCAGGAGTGGTTAGATTCAGCCAGAACATCCCTTAAAAATCCATCTGTTTCAAGGGGTTCTGTGGGGAATGACCACTTCTGTGACACAACAGAAAGGGCTTCCCAACGACTATTCTCTTCATATAAAGGGGGATTCCCTTGTATCACAGAAGTGGTGAGAAACCCCTTGATCCCACAACCCTGGTTTCCTTTGTTCGGGAATCCCCAGATTGACTCCCAACACCCGGACTCGGTCATTCCCCACGTTCCACCAACTCCAAGGTTCGTCAGTGCAAGGTTCGGGACTCGGGACTCGGGACTTGCTACCCACGTTACCCCGCCTCCCCCCCCCCCCGCCCCCCAGAGGTCCATGGTGGCTCTGAAACGCTTGGAGAATGTTGAACAGGACATCTGAACAGAAAAGGAAAAAAACCAAAGGTATTTTAAAGGTTTCTACATATCGTTCCAACCTTGGTATGCGAAATGACCCTGTTTTTGGCAGCCCCCCAACCTAAAAATGAACAGAACCAAAATAAGCGAGGAACACCAGCAAAAAACACTTAAAACATGAACAACAACAGCGAAGATGTACCTCCCCCCCCAGTTCCGCCCCCTCACCTTTCAACCACGGCCTGCAACAAAACCTTTGGCTCAGATGAGCCATGAGTGTCTCTGTTTTCGAGGCTCGGTACCGCGTTTTTGCGGCTTTAAAGGGATTCCAAACGATAAATCACCATTTTCGAGGGGTCCAATTCGTTTAAAAAAAAAAAAAAGAAGAGAGTCACCCATTTAGTGCACCGTGACATATGCTCAGCTTCAGGTCTGTCTTTCTTTGCGAGGTGCCCCTTTTGGGCTGGTTTCAAAGGGAAACCCATGAGGAAATATCGCCATGCTTGCCAACAACAGAACCACACCCGGGTAAGTTTAAACTCCCTCAAAGCTGGGCTGTTCTCATATCCCCTGCTAAAAGTTGTTGACCTTTAGTGGGAAAAATTCGGAAAACACCACTAAACCAGCTCAAAACCTAGAAGCCCAAGTTGAACAAAGGACGCCCAAAAAACCACAAAGGCCGAAGTTGAGCACAAAACTCACGCAACAACCCACGAAAAACCAGCAACTTCTTGTGGGCCAAGTGGGAAACCACCTTTCACCCACCAAAGATCCACTAAAAAAAAGCGCCTCTACGTTTCCACCGGACCTTCCCTTGGAGGTGGACCCGCGTGGACCCGTCCAACGCGTGCAGCTTCAAAGCGCCCGTGGCTCCGGGCATCCACAAAGGTCTCCATCAGCGCCCCCGAGAAGCGCGCGAAGGAGGTCCAGCCTCGGCCCGGCGCGCGGCGCGCGGCTCGCATCCATCGGACGAGCTCCCCCGGGCTCAAAGCGGAGAAAAAGAGGACCGGTGGACGTCCGAAACCTTCCGATGTGGCGCTTTCTTTCGCCTGCCGAAAAAAATAAACAAAAGATATGTCCGGGAGTGATAAACCACCTTTAAAACCGACAGGTTTGGAACAACAACATATGATTTTCAGCAAATGGAAGTACACCACGGCCTAACCCCAAAGGCTCACCCCATAAGGGGGAGACTTTTTGAAGATATCACAGAAGTCGTTGGATATACCCCGAGTGATCCCTGACTAAACCAAAACCAAAACCCTAAACCGTTGAATTCGTCTAGTACCCTCCCACCAATTACTCACTTCCGATCTTGCGTGGACTGGCCAAAACAAGTCGAGAAGCGCTTTATTCACCAGAAATGTCCAGACCCGAAACGGACTCAAGTCCAGAACATCAGCGACTCGGTTGTTCAGTGCCCTGGAACAAAAAGGGAACGCCTTTTGGGGCCTGGACCATGTTTAGTGGGGCAGCCACCCAGAAACAAGTTGGAAACAGACTCGGTACCACTGGACGGCTGGGGTGGGTGAGATCAACCTGGACCCGGTTTCGTTTCGGGGCCTCAGGAAGAGGATCCAAGCCCCGGATGTTGCGTCAGGCGCCGTGTGAAAGGGGTAGGAGGGCACCCCGCAGCCTAAGAATGGGGCCCTCGGAGTAGATGTTTGCCACATGTCGACCGTTGCTATACCTTCACAACCCGAAATGGATTGGAGCAGAAGAGAATGGATTGGAACCTACCTTCACAACCCGAAATGGATTGGAGCAGAGAGTCGTGAACCCGGAGCCTGAAGGAATCGTTGCAGATGACAGTACCCTAGGGTTCATTGCCCCCATTGACAGAATTCCCTAGGCCCAACTTGGAGGATGAAATTCCCTGAAGGGAAAATCATGGCGGAGATGGTCTCGCCTCATTTGATCTAATGTTGGCAACTGAACCCAGGAGTAGAGTTGGACATGCTACCATGTCCTTATAGCCCTCTGTAAAGGCAAGAAAGATATCCCCGGCACCGTGGCTCCTTCAAATAACCAGCTATGGAAATTTATAAGCAATGCGGCAGACAGGGCCATCCCCATCCCCAGGTGGGAACCAAAAGGACCCCTCCGGGTTTTATGACTCCCGCCAAAGTCAGCCGAGTGGCTGACTTCAATTTCCATTTGCTTCTTCGCCCCTGGAAAAATGAAAAAATATGTCCAGTAGTGATCGATTCCTTTTGCAAACAGGGGGAAATAAACCATCGTCTTCAATACATGGAAGTTGAGGGACACCACCACGCATTCTCTAACTCGGACCCCAAGGAAACAGAACCAGCGTCATGACCCCAGTCTGAAACACCAAAGATAGGCCCAGTCCCGGACCATCTTCTTCCTCCTTGGGCGGCTTCACCAGCAAATCCTCCGCGCGCCTCGGTCCGCGTGTCACTCGGTCCAAAGGCGTCCGTCCAGGGGCATGCCTCTGTCCGCAAGACTTGGGCGCTCAGATGCCCAGTGGATTGCCATGGGAAAAACAGAATCGGCATCCTTTTTTGGTTGGTTGAGTTTAAAGGGGAGCTCCCCCAAAACAAAGGAAAAAAGGGCGCCACTTGGCAAGTGGGTGGGGGTACGCAATCCCTCCCAATTGGCTGTGGGTCAAAAATAGGTGCCCAAAATGGCTTGCCCTGGCAAATGGAACCAAGGACTAAAACCTGCGGCCCAATTCCTGGTGGTTGCATTTTGACCCATACCCAATTGATCGCAAGGGGAGAATGAGTTGCCACAAGAAGGAGATCTCCTGTGAGGAATCTACCCTCCCCCAATTCCATCATTGAGGAACCCGGTGGGGATGAAATGCAGATTCCAGTCACCGTTTCCATCCAAGCTGCCGTTTTCAGGCCTCCACTTCTTTTGAGCGGCCCAAGTCGAAGAAAGAGGAGTTGTCAAACTGCGCTTAGCCCTTAAAACTCCAAGCGCGCCCTGGGGTTTTGTTCTCATCTTTTTACAGGCATAAAAACGCCCTTTTGTTGCCCAAGCCACGAAAAAGTGTCGTGTTCTGTGGGGTGGTTCAGGAGACCCAGATCTCAAGTTGGGGCTGGTTTCAAGTTGGGGTCGGTGTCTTGGGGTGGTTTCAAGTTCAGCCCAGTGCGAGGGCTGCAGAGCCACTTTGAGGATCCCACTTCAGTGGGCCCAGGAGACAGCTGGGTTGAAAACGGGCCCGGTTCTTGTTTGCAGGCCCCAAGCCTAAAAATCAACAGGGCCAAACATGTCGATAATAATAATAGTAATTAATAATAATAACAATAATAATAGCAATAACAACAATAATAATAATACTTGAAAATAGTAATGACAACCAGTGCCAGCAACAGTGAAGGAAGGCACCCGTTGCGTAAAGGGGTGCAACTATTTGGGACTGTCCAAAACATGGTGGCCGGGAATGGGCATCGTCACTCGTGACACTGTCAAAAAGAGGACAGTATCCTGTTAAAAGACTCTTATTTGGGTTTGTCTCAGAAGAGGAAGTGGACCCTCCCAAATTGGTGGCCTTCCTCCAAAGAAAAGACACCACCAACCCCTCCCAAAGTTTTGTCGGCTTGTCCTGCCGCCGACTCCCTTTTGGAAAAATCATGGCATGACAAGAGGTTCAAAGGGCACAATCATTTTCCCAAGACTCTGAGCTTCAGGATCAACCATCACGCCTTGGCCCTGCATGTCTCCTGACACATTAGCAGCGCCTTTTTCTGTCCACAAGCTCTGACTTTGCTCTCCTTCGGACCGGCTGTGCCGTTCGGCTCCAGCTCAGGCCGCAAGCCGAAACAACTTCGCACTCAGACCGAAAAGGCGAAACTTCGGCGACGCCGCCCGCGCGAAGCCGCACTTGACAAACGGCATCAGCCGCGCCCCTCCTATTCGTAGTGGCGTTAACACATGCACTAGACCAAAATGCCGCAGCGAAAAATAGCGCGGCGCATGCAAACAAAAAGGCGTGGCCAGCGTCCGTGCTTTGATGAAGCTCGCAGAAAAGTATTCTGCATTGCAGCTTGCTTCAATCGGTTCTCAAGCAAAAGGCAGGAATCCCAAAACACATCCAAGGGGTGCTTGGAGCCTGCTTATTTTGATCTTCATATCCAAAGAGAAAGGACACCTCAAACATTCGAGCAGCGCCAAAACCTTTTCACTTTTGCCTCAAGGGTTGATCAAACCCGCAATTTATTTTCTGTGGAATCAGGCAGTAGCCTTCTCCAGATTGGCCAAGACTGCTCAGCTGTTGCCCCAACTAACCATCAACGTGTTTAGATTCTAGCTCACATTAAGCAAGCTCAATATGTATATATATATATATAATGATGTCAGATATGCATCAGATGTGTGGCAGCATCACTGTTGGTCATCAAACAAAAACACAGAGTTTATCCAATTTTGGATGAATTGTTCACGTTGAAAGATGCTTCACTGTGCAACTTGGTTGGCTGTCATTTCTGCACTCCACTTGTTGACCAAAAGGCACCAACCCCTTATCGTTGCATGCATAGTCAACAACCTTCTAAGCAGAAGCTATGCCGACAATGAAAGGCCAAATGACTCAAAATGGGTGACTTCCTCTCGGTTGCCCTTTAACAGCAGCCCAGATCAGCTTCCCCCTAATCAGTGGTTGGGATTGGTGGTTTGGTGGTTGGGTGTTCACATTTACCCTCTACAAGAGGTTCAGACCCAAATCCAAACCCCCAGTCCAAACTACCAATCAAGCATCCTGAAACTGGCGCCCCCAAAGAAGCTCTAGAATAACGACAAATACATGACTACAATTATAATAACGACAACAATTATGACAATAACGATAATAGCCTTGTCCTGAACACACTGGCCGCTGGCCGAGCAGTGCCCTGGCGAATTGCAGGGCACGAGATCGGCATCTCTGTGCACGTGTGGCACACAAAACTTGGGGCAGGGGTCGTCTTTGCCCCCCCCGTTCGAGCAAATGAATGGAACCCCTTCAGCAAACCTCGGCTTTTGGAGGTGATATCTCTCGTAGGACCAGCCCGAGGGCAAAAGCGACCTGGCCGACAGGCACACCCTGCTGCCTTCTCTCGCCGCTGGGTTCTCCGGTCGCAAAGGGGTGGATCATCACCTCGCGCACCGCACCCCAAGGCGGACATGGACAAGCAATCTTGCAAAGTTGTTTCAAAAGGAATCCTCGCGCGAAAAAACATCACCCCACCCAAATGGCAACTTGGCGGATATTTTTCCCTGAAGGGAGGCACCTCGTGGGAGGCTTGGGGATCTTGGACATCGCTCCAAATCGAATCATTTAGCTGCAAATGCTGACACCTCGACCGTAATGCGGTTAGGCAGGCTTGGGGTATGCTCAAAAGGTATTCTCATAGTTCTCGGAGATCGCTCCACATCGGGTGATTGATCTAAAGTTTGGCCTACCAGATTAGAAACTTGGATCCCCAAGCACAGGACCTTTGTCCGGCTTTCGCTCGTTCTACCCCCCCGAAGCACCGAGCTCGCTCCAAAATAGGCAGACTCAGCGCCCTGTCCACCGTCCCTCTTCGCAAGTTCAGGGCCAATCTGGGTCCAACCGAAAGGCGGCATTCCGCATTCCCTTTGGTAAAACGCGCATGGACTTGTCTCCAAGATCCTATTTGGAGCTCATGGGGGAAAGTCGCCAAAAATGTGGACTTGGGTCTTCCAAACGTTTTGTTGGAAGACCCAACATTAATGGTATTGGTGTCCCCCTCAAACGACCCCTTTTGCTCAAATGGAAGCACCTCCAACAAAAATGTGTTTTCGTCTGTGCCCGCCTAAAAACGAACATCCAGCTAAGGGGGTTTGCCTCCATCTTGCTCCCCATGCTTTTTACCATGATCAAAGTCCCCCCCCATGGTAGGTGAAAGGCAACCCACTAATTCCATTCTCAGACTTTGAGAACCCCCACATCCCAGTCTTGCTTCTTAAGGTGCAGTCAAACATGGCTCAACCTGAGGTGAGTATTTACAAGCCGCGGAGTCAGACACATTTCGCTTCGAGAACGACACTGAAGAATATCGCCTGGCACATTGGAAAGAAATGGCCATGGGTCAAAACCCAAATCGTACCCCCAGTGAACATCCCAATCCCCACTAAAATAGAGTAAAATGGGTGGTGCACCTATCCCAAAATGGGATCCCATTGGTTTTGAACCATGGCCAAATGAGTCCAAAATAAAGGAACTCCCGAAGTGGAGCTGTGACGCTGGAACCGCAGCTTTAGGCAAATGGGTATGGGACCAACAAAAAAAACAGGGGACCGCAGGGCTTAGTCCATGTTTCCACTTGCCAGGCTTCCATTTTGGGTACACTTGTTTGACCCAGAGCCAAATGTGTACGCTCCAATTTGAGCATTCTGCATTTTCCGTTTGGCTTCTTTTTCTAGATTCCGCGGGGCTGAGGTCACCCGACAAACGCGGTCGGTCGCATTATTCCCCCAAAGCCAAAGCGGGAAACAACTCCCTGAAGCCCCAGCTAAGCAGAAAGCCTATGAAGAACATCTAACTCTACCTGAGGATGGTTTGGCAAAAAGGGCCCCTACAAGGTACCAAGGGACCCTCTGGGTAAGGAATACCTCAAGGTGAGGGGACCGAAAACGGCCGGTACAAAAGGCCGGCACTTGTCTGGCCAATTCTCAACAAGCCGGAATCCCTTTTAGGTGGTTTCGAAGGGGAACCAGGAAAAAACCACCCACCCTAAGGGTCCAAACACACCATATGGGTGGCTCGTCTTTTTTACAGGAGGCCCCAAAATGGCTTCGGTTTTCCTTGTGGCTGCAACTTAAAACCCACGAAGAAAGGGCACCCTCAAGAAAAGAACACCCACGTGCATGAATGCTGATGTGTGTGTGTGTATGTGTCCGCGTTTGTGTGGGTAAATGGGTACCCGTCAAGAAAAGAAGCCTCTTACACCCTTATGTCGACCCACCCCACCCCACCCCACCCCACCCCACCCTTTTTCCCCCCCGCTTTCGCGACCCGGCCATCGATCAGATGGCCAGAAAGCGGCCCGTCCACTCGCAGCTGCTTGGGGTCACCACCAGGTCGCGGCTGAGGTCTGCTGGAGCATTTACCTGACGTGCAAATGATCCGGGTAGCACAGAGAACCCTTTGCTGCCTAAGGAAATATGAAAAAAAGTTGACCAACTAAACTCATTTTTTGGGGAGGTAGAACCCTTTGCTACCTAAGGAGGGACGAAAAGATCCCTTTTTACCACAAGCCATCCTCAGGAGGTACCTGGACCAAGGGAATGTGGTCGATGTTGAGAGATGCGGGTGTTCCCCTTACGGGGGGGGCCATTACCCATATGCTGATGGCTTGGTTCCTTGTTCTCAGCTTCTGGAAGCTTCCACTCAGGGGGTAGGCACAGGGGGTGGGGTGGGCAGTTAAAAGCCCCC